CTATTCTTCTGACTTTAGTTAGAAGCATTTATGACATGGCTATGGTCACATTAGTCCTCTTTTTCACTTTAATTCATTGAAAGGTTTAGGCCTTTATGATGGTTGGACTTAATAACTAGAAACCTCCATAAATCTAGTAATGTATAGTACAAAAAACAAAAGTTCAAATGCAGTCCATTTAACTTCTAACAACTTTGATCTGAATAGTGAGGGACATAAAAATTGTGCCATGACGACGCACAGATTAACAAGTTCCAGATGGCCACAAGTTAGAGAACCAGGACATTCTGAGGAGAAATGGACTATTGGAATAAAACACTCATGGATGACAGCAGAGGAATTCCAGAATGCTGCTTTACAATCATGCCCTTTGAAATGGACTTTGTGGGAGCTGAAGAAACTTCATAACCCAGCATGTAGATTTAGTAGAAAACAACTTTTAACTCAGCCTTCCAACTTTTGCAAGAAGAATCTGCTAGCTCACTCGGACACGGATGTGATACAGCAAACTTGCCAGGACAAGGGGCAGCCAAGATGTTGGGGGGATGAATCATCATCCCCACCATCCAAGAATGGATATTAAGACCTTTAGAAAAGACCTGATCAACTAAATATAAGGGCAGCTGACCTGAAAGTAAGGGTCATGACTACATCTGTGACTGCACCCCTTGCCAAGCCTGAGTGACAAAGTACCCTCTAAAAGTCTGTAGAAGGTGTGATGTAGCACTACAAAACAATCCCTACTGGCACCGTAACAGAAACCAATAAGCCGCTGTCAGTGGTGGACAGTAACAAAGTACATTTACTTGAGTACTGTATTTAAGTACATTTTCTGAACATCTTTATTTTACTTGAGTATTGGGGACTTATGTCTTTCGACTCCACTACATTTCTAGGAAGCTTCTTGTTACTTGTTCCTTTTGGCTCAGCTTTGTAATCCGCTGTTGCTGTTTTTCTTTCCTTAAATGCTGCTGGCCAGTTGCTGATTCAGGTTTTACGCTAGATTCATCTGTGCAGAACATTCATTGTTTTGTAAGCTTCTATAAGTATGGCAGAACTTTCAGTTGTCAGTGTTACTGTTTCCTCTCCTGTGTTAAGTTGTTGCTGTCAATATATGCAATTTTATACACAAACAATGCGGTGTATGAATACTGAAGCCGAGGAAAAGACTACATGTGCATCATCTGTTAGGATTTCCATGACTTTCCACAAACATGTAAAATGCAGGGAAGATATTATTTGCAGTTTATAGGTTTTATTAAGGCATGTGGCGTTAGAGTGGTTCTGCATGTCAGTACATCATCAGGTGGTTTCAGAGAGTTACAAGGTTCTGTAAAATCACTCAGAACAATACATCAATGTAGTGATATTAGAAAATATAATTTGTACTATTAAATACTTGAGTATTTTTTTAATGCATATACTTTTGAATACTTCAGCATTTCCAAAAGTGAGTACTTCAGTACTTTAACTTGAGTCATTTTTTGACTGAGCAACTTTGACTTGTAGTTGAGTAAGATTTGACCATGAGTATCAATACTTTTACTTAAGTACTAGATTTGAGTACTTTGTCCACCACTATCTGGTATACACCACAGTAGCAGGGATCCTCGACCACAAACTCCCTAAAAATAGGAGGAAAGGAGCTAGAAACTCAAGTCAAGGCAAGATAGATTTATACTAAATACAGAGAAGCTGTGATGGACTGATACTCTGTCTGGGGTTTACCCAGCCCCTGCAAACTAACAGCTGGAGACAAACAATCAGCCCACCGGTGACCTTGAACAGGAATAAGAATGTGAAGAAAATGGGGAAATGGATTAAAACACAGGCCTAATGTTGATCCTGTCGCAATCATTAACTCTGAGCTTGGTTGCATGAATAAATCCAAATTTCTTTTTAAATTTCCCATTAATTCATCCATACTTTTGTGTTTGCTGTTTAAAATGTCCATCCCAATATATCTGATTAAGATCTATATATAAACATGATGATACATATTTTATTAACAAATGTTATGACACATCTTTTATTAACTTGCCTTCAGGGTTCAAGATTGAAGGTTCTTTATTGTCATTCGCATCACATGTGGTACATGAGGTGGAACAAAACTGTGTACTCAAGGTCTCAGTTACAACCAATAAATAGCAAAGATATAAAGTGTAAAAAGAAACAGTATATGAGGATCTAGGATAGAGTGGGGTATAGTGGGTCCCTCGTGATTCAGGTGGCCCTCTTCCTGCATCTGGAGGTGTAGATGTCTGTGATGGTGGGGAGGCTGACACTAATAGTCTTCTGTACAGCCTTCACCACTCTCTGCAGAGCTTTCCTTTCTTATGAGCAGTACAAATTTAGATCTTCTATTTAGTTTTTAGGGCCTGTAGTCTTCACTGATCTGAGCCCATACAACTCTTATGTAGTCGTAGTCTTTGGCGTGTGTGGGTGGGTGGGACGGAGGGGGGTGTACAGTCAAAAACAATCTGTATATTGTAGAGGTACGCCTCGCATTTGAATGAACCTGACCTTGGATTTTGAAACATCCAAACTCACCAATGTTTGATATCTTTCCTTATCCAAATGAGTACTTTCTCAGACTTTCATTCCCAGAGTCGAAAAGTATTAAGAGATAACAGAATAAGACGCCTTTGTTCGTACTCAAGGGCCTTCCTTTGCAGAAAATCCACAGTCCAACATCATAATATTTCTTTTAGATTTGAAGCTTTCAAGGCAGAATAAGAATTGGAGATTTTATTTAATAAGTCTCTTTGGAAAAACAGAGACTGAGTCAAGACCCGCCTTAACTCTGATTGGATTAAAAGTCAACAGCCACAGTCCTTCTCTTGTGGGTGGAACCATCAATGTTTTAACTCACCAAGAGAGTGAGTTTCATTTCAATTTGAAAAACTTCTTGCAGAAGTCTCATTGAAAAGCAATGGTTTATTATCTGGGTGTCCAAAAACTTCTTTAAAAGGTCATTTGTTGATCCAAAATGCTGCTGCCAGAGTCTTAATGGGAGTTGGTAGGAGATCATATCTCTCCAGTTTTAGCTTCTCTCCACTGGCTCCCTGTCAAATTGAGAATACAATTCAAATTCTTATTTCTAACCTACAAAGATCTCAACAACTTAACTCCATCTTATATTGCAGATCTTATTGTTCCATATTTTCTTAACAGAGCACTTTGCTTTCAGACTGCAGGGTTTACTTGTGGTTCCTAGAGTTTCCAGAAACAAAATGGGAGGAAGATCTTTCAGTTATCTGACTCCTCTCTTGTGGAACCAACTTCCAGTTTCTGGTTATGAGGCTGACACCTTGTTTACTTTTAGGATTAGGCTTAAGTCTTTCCTTTTGATCAAACCTATAGTTAGGATTGGCTTGGTTTCCTGACTTATCGCTTATCATATGCTGCTATAGGCAGACACTATTAGAGAGCAAATTGATCTCATTTCACCAAATGAAGTGTTACAAATGAATATAAATGAATAGTTTGTATTTGTAATTATTTCTATCCTAACATGTATTGTTTTTTTTATCCTTTCCAGTCGAAGCAGATAGCCGCTTGTCCTGAGCCTGGTTCTGCTGGAGGTTTCTCCTGTTATGAGAAAGTTTATCCTGTCCACTGTTGCCGTGTGCTTGCTCTGGATGGGAGACTGTGACGACTATCTGCTAGCTACACCACCCTACCCTGCCCTACCTTAGATAAATAATGTTAATAACTGATTTTTTTATGTTTATGAATGTATTTGTTTAGTGCCCTGAGGTAACTTGTGTTGTGACTCAGTGTTATATAAATAAAGTGAATTGAATTTACCGGTGATTGAATTCTAATGATCTGTCATTTTTGATGCGAAACACCACGACTGTACATAACAAGGTTGAATCATGTCAGTCAGACAGAAGGAAATATCTGTTTTCTGAGAGAAAACTTCTGAAACAGTTGAACTTGACCAGAAAACAATGAGGGTAAATAATACTTATAAAATTAAGGTTTCAGATTAAAGAAGAAAGGAATGATTGAAACAGGGATTATCAAAAAGTCCAAAGACTGGCGCTGTCTAGGTTTGATCAATGCACTTTCAAAAATAGGCTGCTTTTCTGGGATGACAACATTTATTTACCTTTATTTAACCAGGCAAATCCAGCCATCACTGTGCGAGAGGCAGGGGACACCCTGGACAGGTCTCCAGTTCATCACAGGGACACGTAGAGACAAACGAGACAAACAACCATTCACTCTCTCACTCACACCTAGAGACAATTTAGAGTTACCAATCAGCCTAACATGCATGTTTTTGATATGTAGGAGGAAACTGGAGTTCCCAGAGAAAACCAACACATGCACGGAGAGAACATGCAAACTCCACCCAGAAAGTCCACATCCCCCCCACACACACACACACAAAGGCCCCAAGCACACAGCAAGAAGAATCTTTGTTATATTATCATCACATTTTTAATCATTTGCATTTAAAAAATTGCACTTAAGTTTACATTTTAAATTAAAATAAATTAAAAAAAAAACTTTTTAAAGAGCAGGTACAATACTCTCAAAATCTATCAATCCTACAGTTAATAAAAACTTAGAGTCACATATTGTTCTGACAAATGTATTTAATATGTTACTGAGAAAAACAAACTTGATAAAATTTCAGACCACATGGTAAAAAGTACACATTTAAAAAAGACTAACATTCTGTGAAAAAAAAGGATTTAAAAATGATTTTTCCATCCTAAAATTGTGCACACTCAATATGGGACTTTTTAGATGTTATGACATTCATGGATTGTTTTTTGTTGTTGTTTGTGTGTGTGTGTGTGTGGGGGGGGGGGGGGGGGGGGGGGGGTGTTCAGACAATTCATTCATGCTTTAGTTTTCATGATTGAAATAGTCTGAAACCGGATGTTTATTCAATCGGTCAACAAAGATCTGGATTCACACATCAGATGGTGGTTCTTTTGACATAACTCTCACATATGAAGAAACATCAGGATCTGTCAGTTTTACCTTCTGAGCTGCTTGTTGTACCTATTTAGTCTCAATAAGCTTCTACGCACTTCAGTTAAATTAAAACCGTATATGATAGGGTTCAAAAGAGGGGGAATAATCAGAAACTGGATAGCCATGAAGTTTTTCAAACTCTGCTCTAAATATTTGGACCCGTATCGACCGTACATGAGGTCAAAAAAAAGAGCGGCAGTGACATTAACCAGACAGAACAAATGTGGCGTGCACGTCTGCAGGAACTTCTTCCTGCAATCCTGATACTTCAAAGAAAACTTTACCAACTGCACATAGGAACAAATAATGTAGACAGCATGGAGGAAATACAGAAGTATAACACAATATCCAAAAATATTATTAGACATGGTTGAATGACATGACAGCATGACGACAGACCAGTTATCACAATACAGTTTGTCTATGTGGGAGCCACATAATGTCAGCGTAGCTGTCAAAATCACCCCAACAGACAGACAGATCGATGGCACAAGTCTGGAGAAACACACCAAAAAGACAACCCATTGTTTTGTCATGATAACATGGTACTGCAGAGGGCGGCATATAGCAAGATATCGGTCATAGGCCATCACAGCCAGGATAGAGAAATCAGTTGATGCATAGGAATAAATAAAAAAGACCTGCAAGAGACAACCAGTGTAAGATATGACATAAGTGTTGGCCAACAGGTCGAAGAGGAACTTGGGGTGAAAGGCTGCTGTCCCACAAAGACTGTTGAAGCACAGGTTACACAAGAAGATGTACATGGGACTGTGAAGTTTTTCTTCAAGTATGACTGTAAAGATGAGAGCCACATTCACAAACAAAATGGCACTGTAACAAAACAGGTTTAGAGAGAAAAGTGTGACTCTGTATTTTGTTGTTGTGTCCTTCAGGCCTGACAAGGTGAATACCTCTACCATGGTTGCATTGATCATTATTTATCTGCCTCCAAGAAAATCCTCTGAGCAGTTATCTCTGTCGGTTTGTTTTTCACATCTCCATGTAAGAGCCAGAGATGAGATGATGAAACGTCTCGGCTGCTGAAAAGCAGTCCAGCAGTGTGAACTCTTTTAATCCTTGCTAAAGGTTATGACATCACCACTCACAGCTTCATCTCCAGAGCTTTTTTAATCACACCTGAGACAATTTGATTTTATTGAAGGTGGTGAGCAAAGAAGAGCTCCTGAAACAGTGCGTTAGTAGTACAGCCACTGATGTCTCCATCATGTCTTCATGAAAATCTAATGTTCAAATTTCATGGTTCAAGGTTCTTTATTGTCACTTGCATCACATGTGGTACATGAGGTGGAACAAAATTGTGTACTCATGGTCCCAAATACACCCAAAAATAGCAAAAATATAAAGTATGAAAAAACATTATACAAGGATCTAAGATATACGCTAAACAACAATAATGTAGTATACTGTAATACGGTGCATTAAACAGCAGCCTGAATATGAGTATTTTGTGAGCAGATGGTATAAATATATCAGCTTAAGGCAAAAAATCAGCAGCATGGATAAACAGCAGCACAGATAAAGTGACAAATCTCCAAATAAAGTGGCATTACAGTGATTTTTTTTTTTCTGGATAAGGATGTATGAGTCTCACAGCTCAACAACAGGTAGAAGCTGTTCTTCAGTCTAGTGGTTCTACACTAAGGGTGCATTCACACTAGCCCTGTTTAGTCCGCTTTAATCGAACTCTAGCTCGTTTTCCTTGAAAGTCCGGCTCGTTTAGGGATGTGTGAACGCGCCATCGAACTCTGTCACGGAACAAAAAGGCGAACTCTGGCCCGAGCTAAAACCTTGGTCTCAGTCCGGTAGAAGCGAACTCCAGCGCGGTTCGAGTACAGTGTGAATGTAAACAGACCGAGCCCCGCTCCGCAGGGTAAACAAACACACATTTCTCTGACCTTATATGGAGCCGTCAGCTGCCTTGTGTGAAAAGCAATATTCTCCATGGTCTTCTGCCTCATCTTCTTCTCATGCTGAGTCCATTTTTGAAAAATGACAAAATATAACTCCTAAAACTGCTAAAACTTGATGCCACTTCGTTTTTATTTTTATTTACAGAAGAAGAAGAAGACGTGTCTTCAGAGGTTTTTGTGTCGTTTCTTTCAGTAGTTCTTGGTGCAGCGCCCCCACAGGCGAGCGGGGGAATAGGTTGGTTCAACAGGTTGACTCGACTGCACAGTGCAGTGTGAATGCAAACTCACCAGCTCAAATGTAAACAAAAGGTCATAAATATTGGTCCCGAACCGAACTGAGTCTACCGGACTATCTGATGTGAAAACGACCTAAAGCCCCCAGTATACTGTTGCGTACATCCATACGTACGTGCGTGCCCCCCAGTGTACCCTCCGTGCAAAGCTCAAATGTTTACGACCGCATACGCGTACGCGGTGTCGCACAATAAACTTCCCATCGACGGACTGTTTTGTATGCGACACCAATGTATTAAATTCCCCTTCTTCATCCCTGATCTGGCCTTTTCTTTTGTTTTTTTTGCCAAGAGGCAGTGATCTCTTCCTCCTCCGTTGATGCCATGACTGAAATGGTGAGAAATGGAGGAATTTGTCACCAGCGAATTAAACTCAGGTCCAGTGTGGCTGCGGGAGGGTCTGGAGATTTCCTGGTGGTCTGGTCTGATGTGTGGGCTGTAGAGCCTGTGCTCTCTGTTTTTTATTTTTATTTTTTAGATCTTTTTATCAACAACATATAAACACAGAACACCGCTGCGTGAGGCTGCCAGCGCTCGCTTTTTTCCGACCTGTCAATCAATCCAGTAGGCGTGTCAGCAAATGACCAATTGGCAACCTCAATTTGTCCCGAAGGTAAACGCCCCTTGTCTGTGAAGCTGCTCTGCAGCTGCTCGGGGTGTACGTTGGAGTATGACGTCTGAACCCTATGCGTACAGTACACATGTACATACGCGTGAACGGACGTACGCGGCAGTATACTGGACCCTTTAATGCTCTGCAAACTCCTGCCTGAGGGGAGTGGGGCAAAAAGTGTGTGTGCTGGGGGAGTGGGGTCTTTCATGGTGCAGGTGGCCCTCTTCTTGCATCTGGAGGTGTAGATGTCTGTAATGGTGGGGAGGTTGACTCCAACAGACTTCTGTGCAGCCTTCACCACACTCTGCAAACTTTTCTCTCTCCAGCTGTTCAGCCCCCATGCCACACATTGATGCTGGAGCACAGGATGCACTCCACTGCACACCTGTAGAAGGAGGTGAGGACTTAGCTTCCCAGTCCAACTCGCCTCAGCTGCCTGAGGAAGTAAAGTTGCTGATGTGCTGTCTTGAAAAGAATGATGGAAGATGGAAGAGATTTGTGAGAATCACAGACCACTTGCAGCTTCTAGGACTCACCAGCATGTTGGGGACGACCTTGGAGGGAGCTAACAAGCACAGACCAGTGGAATGCCCACAAATCTGGCCATGTTGGATCATCGAACGTACCAGCAGAACTCAAGGCTGACGAGAACCAACGGTCTGCCTGAAAAAAAATCAACAACTATGGATTATTTGAAACTGGCTCCTCGGTTCAGCCTCGAAGCAGGCTGACTTATCAAATTTCTCCTGGAATATGTTTAAAGTAGGAAGGCTCTGTCTATTGCAACCCCTCCCACCCCCCTGCACCTTCTGAAACCCACAATTATCTCCTTTGTCTCCTTCACATTGATGCAGAGGTTGTTCTTCCTGCACCAGTTCTCTAGGTGTTCCATCTCCTGTCTTTAGCCAGACTCATCATTGTTTGTTATGCATCCAACCACTTTTGTGCTGTCTGCAAACTTTACAATATGACAGCCTGGATGGGTAGGTGCACAGTCATATGTGAGCAGAGTAAACAGCAGGGGGCTCAACACACAGCCCTGAGGGGAGCCAGTGCTAAAGATTATGGTGGAGGAGGAGAAGTTGGGGATCCTAACAGACTGTGGTCTGTTGGTTAAAAAAATCCAGGACCCTTTTGCATAGGGAGGGGTTTAGTCCTAGTGTGAGTAGTTTTTCCATCAGGGTCTGGGGAATCAGGATGTTTAAGGCAGATGTGAAGTCCGCAAAGAGCATATGGATGTAGGAGTCCTTCTGTTTCAGGTGGGTGAGAGCACTGTGGACCACAGAGGAGCTGGTGTCCTCTGTTTTATTCTGATTCTTGTGGTATGTATGCTGGTGTGGGTCCTTGCTTATGTCAATGGTTGCTTTGATGTGGGCCATGACCAGTCTTTCAAAGCATTTAGCAACTATCAGGGTGAGTGCTACTGGCTTGTAGTTGTTCAGACCAGTCACTGCAGAGCTCTTAGGAACTGGGATGATGGTGGCAGTCTTCAGGCAGGTGGGAACAGTTGTTAGGGTGAGAGAGGAGTTAAAGATATCAGTCAGCACCTCGCAGAGCTAATCAACATGTTCTCTCATCACCCTCCCCAGGATGTTGTAGTGAGACACGTGAGGTACGTGTCACTTGTTGTATGACAAATATATGGATATATATTTATGCATACTTTTCACGAGTTCTTCATTTTTCTGACTGTAAATGTCGTGCATTGAATTTAACAGAAATGTGAACGAGAGACGTTATTTATCTTTGACCCATCAAATGAATGGAATCATTTATTTTCAAAATCAAAGTTTAACATCAAACATTTACATTAATTTGGCAAAATATGAAAATAATAACAGACAGTTTCACAGAAAATGAACTTCAAATCACTCGGCGGTGATTTGAGGACTTTGCTTCAGA